TTAAAGCTTAGGTCGATTTTTATATCAGAATCTCATCTTTGTGAAAAGTTCCCTCTATCTGTACTGTATTTTATTGAATATAAGCCCTCGATGTATAAAATATATAAACATTTTATTTCAACGTATACAAAAAATATATCTACCTGCTTTACAGCATGGCGGGAGACGGGGAGGGGNTTGACCTTATTTTCGTTGATCTTATTACCTGTCACCCTTATTTACATGTGACTAATTGCCATGCTGGGCCAAGAGTTCTGGTCGGATTAATGCGTTTAAAACTTTGGTCGATAAACGCAAGAGAAGTAGCTCGAAAGGTGGTATATAGTTGCACCCATTGCTTTAGGTACAAGCCAAAGTTGCTGACCCAAATAATGGGAAATTTGCGTAAGGACCGACTATTATCTGTAAGACCGTTCTTAATATCCGGCATTGATTTTTGTGGCCCAATTTATACATGGTATAAAATTCGTGGCAAGCCTCCCTACAAAACTTATGTAGCTGTGTTTGTTTGTTTTTCGTCCAAAGCTGTCCGCATAGAAGCGGTTTCTGATCTGTCCACGAATTCTTTTATTTATTGCTTCAAAAGGTTCATCGGGAGGAGAGCACTACCGGAGAAGGTCGTGTGCGACAACGCCACAAATTTCGTCGGAGCCGAAGCCAAGTTGGGGGAGCTACACGAAATGTTCTTCATCGAAGCGAAGCGAAGGGAAATACTGGACTTCGCCGCGGATCAAGGCGTCAAGTTCGAATTCATCCCCCCGCGCGCTCCTCACTTCGGCGGTTTGTGGGAGGCAGCAGTAAAACCTACAAAGAACCTGCTCCATCGTACCATCGCGCACGCCAATTTAACTTTCGAAGAGTTGACCACCGTGTTAGTGGAAATCGAAGCCATCCTAAATTCAAGACCAATAGCTCCTATGTCCGAAGACCCCAACGACGGGGAGGCACTTACACCAGCGCATTTTCTAATCGGTTGCGCACTCTAAGCCGTACCCGAGCCTTCCACCAACGACGAGAACCCGCCGTACTCAAGGCGAAGTCAACGCATATCTTGCCTAAAGGATCGATTCTGGTGTGCATTCCGGCGAGAGTATCTGCTCGAGCTTCAGAGCAGAGCCAAATGGTCGAAACCTCAGCGCAACGTCGAGGTTGGTTCCATAGTGATCGTCCACGAGGACAATTTTCCCCCACAGAAGTGGCTGCTGGGCAGAGTTGCCGATGTCGTTACAGGGACCGATGGAATGGTGCGTGTTGCAAATATACGAACATGCAATGGTATCATTCGCCGTGCTATACATACAGCCTTATTCACGAACGATAGGCAACACGAACGATTCGTCTGCAGGGGCATGCTTCAAAAATTAGTCCGGCGGCATCATTTTAGCCGGTTTAAATGCAACCGAGACCATTGCAACGTAATGTATGAAAAGCAAGACGAAGGCGACCGATAGAGCTTAAAATCGCAATCAGAGAGGTTGTCGTCTGCAGACGAATCGTTTGGTTTGCCTATCGTTCGTGATACAGAATAAGGCCCTTAAGCTGGCATTACTACCTTTGCATTGAACGACACTGGTCGTGTCAACGGGGCCGGTATGTTCGGGCAGATCACAATTACATTGAAATATTAAGTTGCACTTCTACTATTACTTTTAATACTTTAATACCTTTTTTTGAATTATCTAGATGAATTTCGTAATGTACATAAGTTAGTGCCTAATATGCTGTGTATGACAACCCCATGAACTTATAAAGTTGTTGTACCATCATACTTATACTCATTAAAGTCAGTCGTTCGAAAACCACAGCCAGTAACACCTGTTTCATTTTCGCTATAGCTACTAACTTGCCGGAGTTTATAGTCCCGAACCTTTGTACGTTTTCGTTTAAACGTTTATATCAAAAGCAGCAAAAACCCCTGCTGCAACAAATAAGTTAAAGCCATTATTAAAAATATGGATATAAAATGAAATGGGTTTAAAGAGGCTTTATTTCTAAACTGTATTTAGGAGCGTTGTCACGTATTTAAAAAAAAATCAAATTAAACTTAATTAATAAGGCACATGAAATATGTATGTACAAAGGTATCACAATATCAGACGCAAGAGACTGGTTTATTTCTTAACTATATTTAGGAGAGTTGCCAGCTTTTTTAGAAGTCTTATACTAGGTTCACATATACAGTCAGTCAATAAAGTTTAAGTACAGCGAATTTTTTACAATACGGGCAACTATTTTTTAAATATTTTATTTTTCGATAATTTTTTATAAAAATATGGTCAATTCTACAACAAAAAACCCAAAAATCAGGGTTCCGAACCTTGTGCAAAATTAAAGCAAATTCCGCAAAATTTCATTCAAATATTGCACTTTTTATTTACGCTCTCTAGAAAGAAGTTGGGTATGCAGTTTTTTAGCCCATTCAATTCCAGTATAACAAAGTGCAAGTTTGTGGTGGCTAGACTTACCACTGATTTTTAGGAATTTTTTTTTTGTTGAAGGTGTCGCTCATTTTCTCCATATAAAATAATGTTTGATAATTTTTTT